TGTGTCAATCACATCGCAAAACCGTTAATGCCCAGCTCTTGCTACGCCGGCCCTCTCGCTGTCCCTCGAAGCCTTTCACAAACGCTTAGTACTAACGGACGCAAAAACCAAAACACCGATTGGCGACTCGAGAATTCTTTATTCTAACGCCAACATACAACCAGCATAAGGTATATGAACAAATATTACAATAATAAATCACGATATTACTTCTGACGGTTGTCTCCTGACTTCTTTCTGAACAGCGACCGATGAGACGATGACTGGTGTATTGATGCCTCTGCGAAAATATAGGGAAGTTGGGTTTGAGCAAACAACCATGAATTGATCGTTCAATCTTCAACTACATTCACAGAATGAGTTACACAGTCTTCTAGGGTTAGCCTCTTATTACCGCCGGTTCTTGAGAAATTACTCAGAGATCGCTAGCCCTCTAACGAGTTTGGCTAGAAAAAATATTCTCTTCGTATGGACAGAGGATTGTGACCGTGCTTTCCAGCAGCTGAAAGATTCATTATGCTCGGCGCCCATTTTAGCATTCCCGGATACATCAACAACGGCTGGTAAATACATCTTCGACACGGACGCTAGTCACACATCCATCGGAGCCGTGTTATCCCAGGTCGGTGGGGATGGTAAAGAACATGTTATCGAATATGGCAGCCGCACGTTGAGCCGTGCAGAAAAGGAATACTGCATCACACGTAAAGAGATGTTGGCCGCTGTTACCTTCTTTCGTAATTATCGACCCTATCTACTTGGTAAACCGTTTGTTTTGCGAACGGATCACAAAGCTCTTCAGTGATTGCAAAACTTCAAGGACCCTGAAGGACAGACAGCAAGATGCCAGGAATACCTTCAGGAATATGACTTTGAATGTGTACACCGTCCTGGCAAGCAGCATGCCAATGGTGACACGCTATCCAGGCGCTCTTTCAGACTGCACGGAGCCTGCCCGTCTTGCGAGGGTATTGCTATTTGCGCTGTTTCGTCGCAGGTCTAAGCAGAGAACAGTGGGCATATTTCCAAGCTACCGAAGATGAGACTGCACTCCTATATCATGCCCTGTCGAGTCAGACTGGTAGGCCAGTTGAAGCTGATGTGAAAAGGAAGAGTTGGCAAACCAGAAGTTTGTGGGTCTTATGGGATCAGTTAGTGCTAGTAAATGGTATCTTGTGTGTTCAACCCGGCCCCAACTACTTGAGAAGAGTTGTAGTCCCTCAGTCGTTTGTAACAGCAATTCCGGAGACTATACATATGATTTGGGACACGCTGGAATTAATAAGATGTTGCAAGTAGTTACCCAACGCTACAAGTGGCCTCGCCAACGGCGCAACGTCCGAGACTTTGTCCAGGAGTGTGCAACATGTGGCAAAGTAAAGAATCCACAGACTAAACCCAGGGTGCCACTTACTAATATGAAGGCTGGATATCCTAACGAAATAATTGGCGTCGACATCATCGGACCATTAAGTGAGACCACACGTGGAAACAAGTATATCTTCGTTATGGTTGATTATTTTACGAAATGGTGTGAAGCTGTATCACTTCAAGGAATTGATGTCTCTACAGTAGCCAAAGCTATATTCGATTGTTGGTTTGCCCATTGGGGCGTACCAGAGCAATTGCACTCTGACCAAGGGACCAACTTCGAAAGTATCGTGGTTAGAGAATTGTGCCATCTATTTAGAATTAAAAAGTCAAGAACCACCGCGTACCACCCTGAAGGCAATGGGTTAGTAAAGCGTACCAATCGAACCCTAAAATCATTACTACGCCTATTCTTAGAGAAAGAAGCTAAATCAGCCTGGGGCATCATGTTACCAAGATGCTTGTTGGCTTACCGAGGAAGCACGCACATGTCTACGGGAATGACACCACACCTGTTATGGACTGGATGCGAGTTACGCCTGCCTAGTGATACATTGGTTATACCCCGCGGAATGATCCACTAACTACATCGGGAATGGTAATAAGGTTGCGAGCAGACGTCGCCAGGTATCATAGCTATGCACGCGAAGAGCCCCAGAGAACACAAGAACGACAGAAACGTTACTACGATAGAAAGCAGTGGGGAACACCATTCAAAATAGGTGATAAGGTGTGGCTACGTCAACCAGCGACTGACAACTGGAGTCGACATAAAGCTCAAGCGCAGTGGGCAGGCCCATACGTGGTGTACCGCAGAGTAACTGACAATACTTACGAAATCTAAGAGGACAGCAACAACCCTCAGAAAATGATAGTGCACTTCAACCGTCTGAAACCATGTAGACCAAGCAGACAGGCACCGAGGAGAACCACGCCTTATCTCGATAACCATAATAACCATGTGTCTCTTTCTCTTGCAGGGATGATGTCGAGGCGGGGAGAACGAAAAACTGAAGTCGCTGGGGACAGCTTTTTGGAACCAAGGGGGCCATGTAGTGGTTCGAACTCGAAAGCAGGCGTCAATTTAAAAACCGGTGGATGCTGAATTGTAATAGCCTAGCTCTTTGTGTATAAATATATAACTTTTGGACTTCTGCTGTCGCGTTCTGCTTCCTCACCTTACCCCGTGTGCTTGATCTCTAATATTGTCTGTGTTGTTCCAGTATACATATCGATGATTTCAGCTTGCTAAGGAAGTTTCTAATTTTATATATTATAACATTCTTGAGTTGGTATATGAACTTAAGACCTAACACTTCATCAGATTTTTCTGTCTTCTGTATCCTTCCCCCTCCTTTTCTATTTTGAAAGCATATATATATCCATATAAAAACAGATGGAAACTTAAACTAAAGATAGTTCTATTGCTTGCATTTTGGAAGCGACAATTTTATACTATTATTTGTACTGCCATTCAAACATTGAGGTATGTAACTGTCACTTTATAAACATTGTAATTTCGGGCGGTTTGCTACTGATGAAAACCTGTGAAACAGAATGATATTTTACATTTTAAATATAATTGTCAATGTAGTTGGAGATTGAACGATCAATTCATGCTTGTTTGCTCAAACCCAACTCCTCCATATTTTTCGTGGGAGTCATCGATAGTGTAGTCATCGTCTCATCGTTCGCATCTCAGGGAAGATAAAAAAACTATCAGAAGTATTATCATGATTGATTCTTATAACATTTATTCTTAGAACTTGTGTAATAACCTTATTTTTGGTTAAATGTTGGCGTAAGAATAAAGGATTCTTGAGTCGCCAGTCAGTGTTCTGGTTTTCGCGTTGATTAATACAAAGTGTTTCTGAAAGTCTTCGAGGGACAGTGTGAGGTCCAGCGTAGTAAGAGCTGGACATTGACAGTTTATGAGTTGTCTGACAACAGTCTTCCTTTCCTTCTTTATCGGAACTTCTAGGAGTCTTAATAAATATCTTTATTATTTCAATATTTTGGCAATAGAAAAATAACAACAGTAAAATCTTTTTCATCTCGTGGAAAAGAGTTCATTTTTGTTGTGTGGTATCAACAAAGGGAATAATTGTAAACGAAAGAATATGATTTGATGTTTATTGATGACCAGACGTTGATCGAAATATGTGTTAAGCGTTTTAAAATTTATTCTCCAAAGGTTTGCATGAATGAATGTATTTAGACGAAGGGGCATGAGTTTGTGGAGTACGTAACAATGTGATTGTACACTTTTTGTTGGTTGTAGAAATTAGAGACATTGTACATGATTTTTGTTTAAAACGATTCTTGTTAAAATACATATAACTTCCGTGTACAATTGGTAATACACTTTACTGCTGGAAGCTTCGCCTTCTCTTTGACCATTTCTGCTTACTTGCTCCACGCGTACCGTGTTGTATACTTTGGATTTATTGCAGGAGTCTATTATCCTTATCCGAAGACAACTCTACAACCGGTCCACAGCATCTACAAATAGACGCATTCCAACAGGGAACGCTCCCTTGGATTATATTGATAATTTGTAGCCGCGGACTTTAACGTTATAACCAAGTAACGTTTTTAATTATATAACGCATTACTGCATTTCTGATAATAAATTGTTACTCAACATCTCATTGACTTGGATTATTATTCTCATATTTGTAATGTTAATGAGCTCTCCTAACAGTCCCCTACAATTTCACAAGCAACACTATATCTATTTACCGTATTAGTTAAGTAAAATGAACGAAAAATCACACCTTTCTTAGGAGGAATGTTTAGAAAAGCAGTTAATGTTACCATTTCTGGTGCCAACGAACACTAACTCATGTATTTGAGAATAAATTGTTCTCTTAAGCATCGGTAAAAGTGTATTACACTTCATAATTATCAGAAAAGTAGACATGAATCATAATAATAAAGAAACAGAAGAACCTCAGCATATGTTATTATAATTATGATACGAATCCTATTAAGTTAATTGTATAATTGCATGTTCTACATAAGCTTGAGTTATTTTCGGAAGTCACAGTCTGAAATTCATGTCTGCTTTTGTAGAATTCAACTAGTGCGATAACCGGCTTGTAAATGAGGAAATGTTGCAGTAATCTCCTTATTCTTTCACCTGCTTGTGTAGCATCACTTGTTATTCTGAGACAAAGACTGAGTACTGTAGTGGAGTATAGTTTACTTAATACAACACAACATGATGCAGTATTATGCGCTAATTTACCCTAAAGACATCCAACACCGAACTAAAGTTTGTCGCATTATGATCGCTTACTACACGTGTACAATTACTTCACTGTAAAAGGTATAAAAATAACTTTAACTGTATTTATTATTCATTTTATCTTATCATGTCCCCAGTGGAACATAGGGCTTCAGGCTAGAGCTTTAAATTCTCAGTAGCAGTAGTCATTTTTACGGATTGAGGCTGCTAGCCCCATGCCCAACCTTCCCACTTAACCGGTCTTTTTACCGGCTTGGCGAGGTTAGGGAGTGCATTGGCCAGGGATCGAAACCCGGGCCATATGCATGGTTAACCTGCATTCTACCAATGATCCACCAACCCACAACGTATACTGTAAGACAAGTCATTTCACTTATTCCGTTTTTAATGTTATGATGAAAACAGGATTATATGCTGTGAAAGATTAGTAGTACGAAGACAGATAAATCGATAAATGGTAAAAATTGCGAGACATAAAAATGAACATTTCAATTAGTTGTAATTATGACGTCAATAAGTAAGCGAGAAGTATGCATCTGAGAAGAGCCTCTTCTATTGTTGTTATCGATTAAAAAGTATCAATTCCAGTTTCTTGTATATTCTCATGAATTTGTAATTTCAGGGTAATTCATTAAAGTTATATTCGAAAAACACATTTAATCAGTTTATACACCTGTATACAAACGAGATTTGATATATTTGTTTTAGAAAAATCTAATTCATTGTTTTCTGCTCTGCTTCTCAAGATTATTAGCTACATATTCTTAAATGAAATACAAATGAATTAACTATTCAGAAGCAAAATACTACAAAATGTCTTCGCTGTAATTAATATGGTTATATTGGTCAACTTCATTATAATAATAATATTACTGGGGAATCTGTTGTTGATGTGCTGCATAACGGAGTTTAGGATTTATTGATAATTTTCTTGAATACATTTGTTTATCTATTCCATTTTTTGATTTGTTATCCAAAGTTTTTTTGTGCACATAACTCCTTCGACAATTTACCTAAATACCAAACAAACAAACAAATATATTAGATTAAATCAGTGCATTGTAATACTTCTGTTCAAAATTGATAAAATCTAAAGCATATACAGAATAATTAAATCTTAATTTGTGTGCCCATTTCGAAACTAAATTATCCCTTTCTGTGAGTTACACGGTTCAGTGATGGGAATTCACGACAGTTTTCATCTATAAACTGAAAAATATTCAAGTTTCAATTGGTGGTGTGCTTATTACCATAAATAACAACCAAGAAAGCAAGAAAAAAATGTATGGTACTGTATGCTACTGATCGATATGAGCAGTCGAAAACCACTCATATTGACCAATTTTACCTATCTTTACGAAGAGTTTATACTGCTCTTTTGAAAATGAAACAGTTTTACTAGTAATTATTGAATCTTTTCATTTAGAATATTTTTGAGAGATACCCTGCGTGATCTCATTTAAAACTGGATTCTTTAGTAGAGTTATTTCCTCTGAGATACTGAAGCAACGAAATCAAAACTTCATAGTTGGCCAAGTCTCTAAGACTGCCTGTTCAAAACACCGGATAACAACTTGACTTGATTCAGTATTAACTCGCATGTTTTATACTACCGTGAACCCAGATTATCATAGCTAAAAGAATCAGAGAAACCTAAATTGGAAAAACAACATGAGTATTGTGTACCAGATCACGAGATTTTGAAGGGATATTTAATAGCTGTTTAACAGTATTCGGCTGAAACAAACATTTCATCATTTTAAATAGGTAATATTGTACGGACTTTCTACTGTGTTACTGTAAAACCAAAAAGTAAATGGTGATATGCAGATTAGCCGTGAAACATGTTGTCAGTTTTATTACTTCATGTCTAATTTAAATGCTGACTAGCCACATCAATCCAAGTATCACATATAGTCAGATGAAAGTCGTAGGATTCGATTTTCTATCTGACTTTGATTGTATGAGGTTCATATATTATAAGTAAAACTAAATAATGGAGACATTCATTGTCCAGAATTTTCTGCGAATTGTTTTCTGAGTAATTTCATTGTGTAGTCAAGCGACCTCCAACTCATAGGAGAATATGAATTACGAGTATAGACACTTTATTCAAAATAATATGCAACTCAAAATTCGTTTATTTAACTGTTGAAAAGAATCTAAAAATTAGGTTTCTTTTTGACAACAAAGATCATCCAGAGGAATATAAAGATACTGAAAAGGAACAGCGAACCGAAATCTAACAAATGGTAAGTAATACATTTTGCTCATTACAGTATTCTGTTAAACAGTGTTACAATTAGTAGGATTATCAAGAAAATGTTTGACAGTGTGTTAGTTATATTACATAAAATGATATCTAGATGAATAGTAGTCATCTAACAAGTCAGATAGCCGACGTTTTAAAGCAGTTGGAAACGCTTATTTCAAGTATTAGCTTCTTCTGTATACACAGTTTGTCGGCCCATATGTATAATCCAAGGGAGTTGATGATAGTATGAATTGGTTGACGATCACTAAAAATGAGCTTTGAATGAACAATACCTTTGTAGCTGTAAATAATTCCCCAAAATTATTTACCATAGGAACAGATTATGTCTAAGAGAAGAATTACATTGTGACCATAAGAATCATCAGTGAACATTGGATGCTGTCCATTAGAGTTTCAATCGACTTGTTTGGCTGAAGGCTTCTGGTCAAGCTTCTCCGTCGTGTCACTTTCGTGCACGATAACTAGCTAGCTTAGCTTCCGCTTCAGTCCGCGATTTGGTTCCGAAATATATCTCGCAATTTGGACAATCAGTTGTGGTGTTTTACTTTGCTTTTGGTACACGAGAAACAAATAATCGTGAAGTTGTTGGCATAAGATCTTGCTTTAATATACTCCGTACAGTTCGCGAACGCCTATACCGTCAACCTCTAAACCTTCATTTTACCAGTTTTGTTTGCATTCCAAATGATGTGTAAAGAAAAATAATGAGTTTCAGCCTTTACTTCATTTGAGGCATTTCTCTTATTAAAAATATGATTGAATTTTTATTAGTGTTTCTTTTGATCTTAGATAATTGAAATTTTGTGAATACTTTATTATTGTCAGTCGTGTTATTATTTACAGAGATGTAGAAGAATCACGGAATAATATTATTTTGTAATAGTTACCTTACGAATACTTTAGCTTTATTGCTTTTGCAGCAGAATATAACAATTACAGCACAGAATAAGTTAGAATTATCAATATTTCCTTCGAATTCTGTGTACAATTAAGATATCTTTTTCTTATAACTTTACGGCTGACTAGAAACCGTTTTGTATCTTAAACCTGTCAAGTAGACTGTCATTTGGGGTTTCATAGACTACCTATTAACTACAATTGTCTAGGAGATAAAAGTGTGATTATGCTGCACATCATCCTAAGCACCAAACTTTTAACCATTGGGTCTCCGGTTATAGTTCCGCTCCACATATTTTAGTCAAGGTAAGTAGACAGTATAGTAAGCCTTTATACAATAAGTGTGACTCGCAGCTTGCAACATGAAAGATCTGTTCTTAGAAGTGAGTTTACACACGGGATCAAGGAAATCAACACAAACTAAGATTGAGAATAGCAAAAATATTACCTGAAAAATCGAAGCAACTCGACTTGCTGTATGCATCAAGTAGCCAGTGGAATTCTTTTGTGATCGAGGTTTCATTTCCTTTGTATATTGTAGTTTTGTAAGCTGACCATCTAGATTTGAATTTTTACCAACTAGATTTGTCGAATCATTATTTAGAAGTGATGGATTTAAACAATCTTTCTTACCCGATGAATATTCGTAACAGGATTTTGTTTGTTGAAATAAATTCAATAGAAATTCTGATAATACAATTGATTTTCCACCTAGACGTTTTTCTTCTAACTTTTTCAATTCATTTAGTTTGCATATTTTATTTCTTAGTGTAGATCTCGGTATACCATAAACACTAGCTGCTCTGCGAGTTCCTAATCGTCCAAAACAAATAGCTTTAACAGCTGCTGACAATTCAGCTTCTGTATATGGACGTCTTATTTCTTTATTTAAATTACATGTGTTATTGTATGTAGGATTATTTGAATTTATTTCATGTTGATGATGGTTGAATTGTTTATTTCTTGATGAATTTTTCATAACTGAACAAAATAGTGATTCGTCTGTTTTATAATATGAATTATTTGTAGTGTTTGCACTTTCGTCTGATTGTGTTGAATAGACTTCTTGTGTTAGTAGGACTGGCATTTCCAGTAGATTTGTCGTCCACAAACTGTTATCTTCATTTGAATAATTTCTAGAGGTTACATGGTTGGAACAATTGCAGTAAATATGTGAACATTTATTTGCCTTTTCACAAGATTCAGTGCCATACATATTTTCTTGTTGGCTAAATCATTAAAAGTTTAATTAGCTTGCGTATAGACATATAAAATATAAAAATTTAAAAATAATGTCTGAAGAATAAAATGATATGATCATTTATACAACCTTAAAGACCCTGAGTAATATGAACCCTATGTGCTGATAAAAACTGCAGTAACTGCTAATCGTAACGTCGTGCAGAACAGCGACAATACTACTAACATGCGAAAACACGACAGAAGACCGTTGGCAGGGGCGTTTTTATTGCTCTAAAGAGAAACAGAAACCTCTGACAGCAACACAAAATATATAAAGTTTAAATGACTATGACAAACACTAAATTTGCTCGTAATCGTTTACTTGGTTGACAGCAAGTGATAGTCCAATCCTCCCAAAATATGTGGAACACAAAAGATTCAATGGTCACGCGATGATTGCAAAATATACTTATTTTAAAGTTTTAGCTAGCAGAATAAAGCAAAAGTATATACAACATTAGGAAGGAAACTGATAATATTCCTTTATAAAATCCTGAATGTATTTAACTATTCACTGATGTTATTTGGCCTATTCCGAACCACGAAGGAAGATTCTCATTAATGCGTTTGTTGAGCTGTCTAGTTGTTCGCTCTATATAGCTCATCTTCAATTGTAAAGAAGAACATGATGGTAGACCATATTTCCTTGATGCCCCGTTGAGCACAAGAGAGGATAGTTCACTCAAGAGAGATGTCTATAAGAAACCTATATCTGTAGGACAATATACACATTTCTTCAGTTTTGTACCAATCCTATACAAAATTATTTCAGTCAGATGCCTCACGAACAGAGCAAGACATATTTGTACGGATGACTCCTTAGAAAATAAGTTGGTGTACATCCAATTTCGCTGGTCCAAATGGGTTATCCTAGTAGATTTGTAAGGGAACACATGAACCACTAGACAGCTTAACATACACATTAATGAGCGTATTCCTTCATGGTTTAGAAAAGACCAAATCAATTCTATAAAAAATTCTATTTTGTCTATTTTGTCACCGAGTGGACAGAATTAGTGCCTTCAAAGTTATCTATCGTATACACTAATATGTTAAAGAATAAAAAACCAGTACTTTGAATCTGATCAACCAAAACATCGTCTCCTATACATGCATTCGTCTAGGCTAATGTAAAGCATTTCATTTTGGGATTCATTAATAGCTCTTATTCTTTTCTTCAGTCTTCTCCGCAGAGCCTGAAAAACTTCACATACCACCCGGCAAACATTTCCGTCTACTACAAATACTACATATATAGGCATATTTATTAATTGTATTCGTTTACTCTGGTTGGGTATCCAAGGTCATGGTTAAAGCCAGCGACCACCCCTTGACATTCCCCAACTAAATACCATTCTGATATTTATTACAAATTATCATATTATTTCAGTATCGTAAAATTCTTAAGAAGACATTAGAGTTGCTCTCGACAAGTTTCTTATCACTTATATTTTAGGTTAAATATCCTATATTAGGAGGAAAAGCTCTCCCATTTTTATCTGGTCTTTATGACAGAATTAGATGTGTTGTTTTCATCTGATGGGAATCTCTTACTTAAAGTTTTTTGATATGGAGTGAACACTGTTGGTTCAAATAGTATTTCTGAAACTAGCTACCATAGATTTTTTGTGTGGCATGATGGTTTTTCATACAGAGAGCACAAAGCGCCCACTTTCTGAACACATCTCAAAACACTGTCGGCCATTGTTATCAAGAAGATAATCTAATTAGAGCAGTGCAGCTCTCCAGGAGTCCTCTTCTAAAACTATTTAACCTAAGCCTTTTGATTTTTTTGAAAAAATGGGATGGTGTTTATCACTGGGATTCGCTTTGCTGTTTTCATACAATCCTCTCTATCATAAGTTTGATGCCCGATGAGGTCACTGTTGCGTACTGCTGAAAGATCTCAAGTTATGAAGTAACTGCTGTCCATTACTTCCTGGTTTTCAGTGATCATCTAACTGAAGGTATTTCGCGACCTAACTTAGAAATATAGTCAGTTGACAAAATCAAAGAATTTAGCAATACTCACCTACTTCCACATGAAACTGTTTTCATTGACAAATCTAAGGGTTCATCGTCTTCGTCGAGGTTTGCGTGTGGTTTTTGTATACTTTGAATAGAATTGAACTTATATAATTGATTTATATTTGGTAAATTATAGCGGTGAAATTGTGTGAATGAATAAATAAATTGTTCAACGAGATTTTTTTCATTAACTGAACATTGACAATATAAGTGACATTTGTTTGTATCCATACCGGGAAAGAATTTCTCTACTTCTAAGTATTTTATTGATTTTAGTCCATCATCAAGATAAGGATAACATGTATCAGATAATGAAGATATTCTATCAACGTTTAAACGGTCCCAATTATCCGTAGATCCTAAATAAAATCGGAATGAACGTAATTACTTTAGGTTTATTCAACTACTGAATGTTTATGACAAACTGAAAACAACTTACGTAAGAGATTTTATCCTCTGTGGAAAAACCAGATATCCAGTCGAATACGACATAACCCAAATAGTGAGGTTACATATACTAAACTAGCCATGAAAGTTTATACTGAAATTTTTAATTCATTCATTTATGTGCTGTTAACAATGTAAGCAGATGAATCGGTTTATAAACAAGAAATGTTTTACTAATGGTGTTTAGCTTAATTAATTTGAGTCTTGATGTCGTATAATTTACATATTAGGAAGATGAGGTTATAAAAAATTACTTTAATTGTATGTGACTCTCAAGATAAAATTTCTTTTTTTATTCCTTTGGCGTCCCAATCCAAAACAGTAGCAATGGTGTTTTTTTAAGGGATGGGTTTGTTAGCCTCCCGTCAGTGCTTCCCACTTCCCCCCACCTACTACTGGCTAGGCGGAGTCTGATTGTGCGTCAGTTGGGAATCAAACCCGGGGCCACCACTGAACTACCGACACAATATGACTGAGTTTGATTCACTAAAACGAAATGCAGTTCTAAAGAGATACCGCGATAGAATATATATTTCATAAAATTTATGTTTACATTGTGTTTTCAACCTTTTCAGTTGGTATTTTGAAACTTTTGCATGAACACGCAGTACAGTGCAATTTGAAGTAAGAATCTAAACATGTAGTTAAGAGTTGAAATGCTAACACAACCAATATACTGATTTTATTTTTAGATGCAACTTTTTATAAGAATGCCGCGTGTCACAAACCTACCACTTTTCTTTTCATGAAATTTCATGATGTGTTTTATGTATTATAATATAACTAATTAATATGAATAACAATCCTAAATGTCTTGTTAAACTAAATAAATACGAAAGTAATACGCCAGTGAGCAATAGGCTACTATTTTGTCATTTGAAATTATGCTACTTGTTTAATACCAAGTAGTACAAATTGTCTTGATAAATCACACAGTGTTGTACAGCAATATTAACTGATGACCATGTTTCGAGCACAAATTATTGCCACTCATAGTCATATCAAGTCACTCACACAACGTTTTGCTTCATTTATATACATGAGTCAAACCTTAATTAAAAAACTGAATAAAATCAATATGAGATAAAGTTCATTCAGAAATAATATTAGTGTTATCAATCAAATACAATCAGATGGGATGTTTTTTGTAGTAAAAATAAGTAACTTGTTAAAATGTTATAATGTGAATTGATTACATCTTAAAATTATTTATTATTCTCCGATTTGACTGGTAATAATGTCTTCCATACCTCTGGTATTTGCGCTGAGTCACTTCTATTGCATATGTTAGGTGTAGACACTATGAGCAAGGATTCAGTAATCAATCTCCCTCTCCACCTACCTATTGAATTTGATGTCGCTCAATTTAAACAATCATTATATTATTATTATTATATTATTGTATCCTTAGTTCCTAGAGGAACATAGGGCTTCAGCTGCGCACCTCCATTTACTTCGGTTTTTTGACAACTTTTTCACCCTGGTCCAGGTCTGCCCACATGCTTTCATCTCCTCTTCACATGACCTCCTCCAAGTCACCCTTGGACGACCAACTCGCCGCCTCCCTTTCGGGTTCCACTCGAGCAATGGGTTGTCTAGTGATGTCACTTGATGGTTTCCTCAGCGTATGGCCAATCCATCTCCATTTCTTTCTGCCTATTTGTTTCACAATCGGTTCCTGATTGGTTCGCTCCCAGAGATCCCTGTTGCTGATCTTTCTGGCCATCTGATCTTGAGTATTGAGCGGAGACAGTTGTTAATGAAGGTTTGAAGTTTGTTTGAGATGCTCTTTATGACTCGCCAAGTCTCTGATCCGTATAGTAGCACTGACTTCACATTGGAGTTGAAAATCCGGATCTTATTTTTGATGCTGAATGCTGTTGACCTCCACACAGATTTGAGAGTAATGAAAGCTTGTCTTGCTTTTCCGATTCTGGCTTTGATGTCCTCGTCAGTTCCGCCTGTAGTTGAGACGATGCTTCCCAGGTAGGTGAAGGAGGTTGTTTGTTCTTCCCATTTATGCTTATTGTGGTCTGTTGTTGCTGTTGATGTTGGCAAGGAATCTTCATCATCTCTGTTTTATCTATGTTCACGTGAAGTCCTATCTTTGATGCTTCTTCTGCCTAATTTCTCTAATATACTCTTAATACAACCATACTATTATTACTATTATTTCTGTCACACTTGGCTGATACTGGACACAGCATTGACGCCTACAGAGCCTTCAGCGTTATGTACCAAATTTCGAACTCGTTATCACGTACAGTTCGCTCACGTCTCCTGCACATAGCTGAAGCTGTTGCAATAAGATCGACTAAACCGGAACTTTGTGTCCAAAAACAAAAAGTCCAGACGCTGTTTCTAACATGGCCAAACTTGGATTAATGATTCTTCTTCTCGCTAACAGCGCCACTTCCCCTTATCTTTCTTGGTTTTTTCTTCTTTTTATTTGCTTATTATCACAATTATTATTCATCATAATTTATACCTTTGATTAAAACATTTAGTACTATCGAATTTTACATACATATTATCCGGACTTATTATCAGTAATATTACCTCTTTTCTCGGTGTATGCCTCAACCTGTTTCATTTCACACTTTCGTTTTTTTATAATCCACCTCTCATTGTAATCTACATCCTCTTTGATATATACTACTTTGTACCGGCCATCTACCTAACACCTTTTATAACCTTAAACTGACTTGTCAGTTTTTCCTAACCCACACTATACAAATCTATTATGACTAATCACCACCACTGTCTCCCATTTTACAATATCTTGCAATCGATTTCAGCCTAGCACGTTTGTCACACAAACGCTACTATTTATTTTGACACCCCATAACTAATCTTTTATTCTACGTAAAAATGTATCCCCAGCATAACTTGCCTTTATTGTAACGACAACAAATATTATATTTTATAAATATAAGAACCTGAAGAGAAAGATGTGTTGAAAAGAATATTCTTCGTTCAGATTTACTTTCAATTCATGATATTGGAATATTTCACACTATTAAATTATTTTCAGAAACTATAGAGAAACTGTTTGTGATTTAACAAAATCACTCTTGATTTTTATATATGCATTAGGCGGTTTCCATAAATATATAACAAATAAGTATATTTTGTAGTTTTTTATAAGATTTCACAATTGTATACAAGAATTATTCAACATGATCATCTAATACCACCATAGGTGATAGTTCAGACATCAGAAGTAATGGATACTACTACTGCTAATAATAATAGTAGTATCAAACCCCTACGAATCAACACTTGAAAAATAATGATAACAATAAAAGTGTTTGATGTTTTCGTAATGTGAGTGGTCAGTTATGTTATAGGGATGAGGAAATATGTGTGGTTACACAGAGAAGGGTTGCCTTCTCTCCTCAATCGATGTGTTACTTAAATTTCAAAATCAGCTACATTCCATATTGGCTTATTTATCCAGTTGCGTAGTGAACAGCAATCTGTACTTACATCGATTTCTACATAGGCATCAGTCAACCGTCATTGATTTTACCAGCGAAAAGAAGGCAGAATACTGAGGGTGAAGGAATATTGGTTTTGATGCATCAATATTACTTCCAGTGATATACTGTCCATAATTATTCTACTTGAAGCTTCTGTAGAAGGAGCAAACATTACGCAGTAAAATACTTTGAGAATTCTATGCTACTCATAAACTCATTCTTCAGAAAAAGGCTATGATTATTATCCCTACGATTAAGTCCCGTAACTATTTGTTGGACTTTAGGGAAAGCATGAATATGCTGGTCTTTAAAACGATTAAGGTATAAAAAGTTGAACTGACAAAACCTGGAGATTTAAAATTAATGCCTCACTATGTCCAATGACCATATCAATTTGGAGCTTAGATTTCTTTATTTAACAGCGCTCTCCAACGTTCACAACGGTGACGATGTGATTATCAATTCGTTCTGACCTTCCCCTGGACTCTATCTATCTAAAAGAGCAGTTAAATTAATAAAAGTATATAATTTCCGATAGCTTGGAATTTTGTATTTCCTGATTTCGTCCTCTGCACCGTAAAAATTTCCAGGAGATTTTCTAAGACTTTTATTAGATTAGTTTACCTTATCTAGCTGAGGTACACATCGCTTAATTCTTTTGTAGCTCATCTGTGTGCTGAGAAAGACAAACAGCTAATAGCTTCCCGAAAATTCGTTCGTTCTTGTTATTTGGAAATGTGTCCTTAAAGTTAAATAGTATCCTGTTCTAGAGTAGTTAATTGTTGGTGGTCCGTTTTCCTTTTGAACCATAATTGGTTGAAATCTGAAGGCTCCATGTCCTTTTTTAGATATGTCATTGCACTGAATCATCTGAGAACTTCTTTTTGTTACTTTTTTAAAACGTTTTGGTCATCGTATGATGGAAAGTCAAATTATCTATATTTTTATGAATTATTTAGCTACAAATATTTTCGAAAATCTTTGAATGTACTTCAGATTCGAAGCCTGCTTCATTATTAGACTTATCATGTTTACTCTAGATTACCCTCCATCAAGTAAGCTGCAAACAGTTTAAGAAATTGACTCAGTACATTCTGGCAGAGCTATTCACTTCTTGTAAAGTCAGGAAAATTCGCTGTCGAGTTTTCGTGACTTCCTTTGGTAACAGCATTACGTAGCTTCCCATTTGCCTGTCATATTTCAACTAATAGATGCACCTAGCGACACCTATTGTTTTCCGTCTATTCTTACCTACACTTTGTGACTTCTACATTTTATTTTAGTGTAGAAATCTTTGAAATTCACCTAGACATACCTTAGCTGTGTGTGAGAAGCAGCCTTATAAACTGCGTCTCCTTTTCCTCGGTTGTCCATTCTAATCGGATAAGTCTGCACACACTGCGCTAAATAGCCCCTATTCCGTTATCTTA